TTTCCATTTTCTGAGGTCATCTTCAATTTCCTTTTTCAGTGTAATATAGTTTTCACTGTATAAGTCTTTCACTTCTTTCGTAAGAGTAATTCCTAAATATTTCATTTTTTTGCTTGCTAATGTGAATAGTCCAGTTTCCCTTATTTCCCTCTCTGTGGTTTTGTTGTTTGTGTATAGGAATGCTATTGATTTCTGAGTATTGATTTTGTATCCAGCCACATTACTGAATTTATTTATTGTATCTAAGAGTCTTTCAATGGAGCTTAGGGGGTCTTCTATGTAGAGTATCATGTCATCTGCAAACAATGACAACTTAACTTCTTCTTTTCCTATCTTTACCCCTTTTATTTCTCTTTCTTGCCTAATTGCTCTGGCTAGTACTTCCAGTACTATATTAAATACGAGTGGTGATAAAGGACATCCTTGTCTTGTGCCTGATTTTAAAGTAAAGGCTTTCAATTTTTGGCCATTTAGTATGATGCTGGCTGTTGGTTTGTCATAAATGGCCTTTATTATATTGAGGTAAAGACCATCTATTCCAATTTTCTGTAGAGTTTTTATGATGAATAAATGTTGGACCTTATCGAAGGCTTTTTCTGCATCTATAGAAATGATCATGTGGTTCTTACTTTTGGCTTTATTGATATGGTGGATTACATTTATTGATTTGCATATGTTGAACCATCCTTGCATTCCTGGTATGAATCCCACTTGGTCATGGTGTATAATCTTCTTGATGATTTGCTGGATCCTATTTGCCAATATTTTATTGAGGATTTTTGCATCTGTGTTCATTAGGGAGATCGGTCTATAGTTCTCTTTTTTAGTTGGGTCTTTCTCAGGTTTTGGTACTAGAGTGATATTTGCTTCCAGCAATGACTTAGGAAGGATTGCTTCCCTTTCAATTTCATTGAATAATTTGAGGAGTGTCGGCATTAGGTCTTCTTTGTATTTCTTGTAGAATTCTGCAGTGAATCCATCTGGGCCTGGGCTCTTTTTGGTGGGTAAGGACTTAATTTCATTTTCAATTTCAGTAACCGAGATTGGGTTATTCAACAATTTTACATCCTCTTGATCTAGGTTTGGCACTTCATATGCTTCTAAGAAACTGTCTATTTCTTCTGTGTTATCAAACTTTTGAGAGTAGAGGTTTTCGAAATAGGTGTTGATGATCTTCTGTATTTCTATTGGGTCTGTAGTGACTTCTCCTTTTTCATTTCTTATTGCATGAATTTGAGCTTTTTCTTCCCTTTTTTAAATAAGGTTGGCTAGGGGCTTATCGATTTTATTTATTCTTTCAAAGAACCAACTCTTTGATTTGTTGATCCTTTGGATTGTTTTCTTAGTCTCTATTGCATTGATTTCTGCTCTGATTTTTATAATTTCCTCTCTTCTTTTGGCTTTGGGCTTGACTTGCTCTTCTTTTTCTAGCTGTTTGAGGTGTAGCATCAAGTTATTTATTTGTATTCGTTCTGTTTTCCTGATGTGGGAACTCAGTGCAATAAATTTTCCTCTCAGGACGGCTTTCATTGCATCCCACAGATTCCGGTAAGTTGTATCTGCATTTTCATTTTCTTTTAGGTATTGTTTGATTTCTTCTTTAATTTCTTCTGTGACCCACTGATTACTCAAGAGTGTGTTATTCAGTTTCCATGTGTTTGTGGGATTTTTGCAGTATCTTTTATCGTTAATTTCTAATTTCAGAGCGCTGTGATCCGATAACATGCAAGGGATGATTTCAGCTCTTTTGCACTTGTTTAAATATGTTCTATGAGCTAATATATGGTCTATTTTAGAAAATGATCCATGTACTGCTGAGAAGAATGTGTATTCTGATGTTGTTGGGTGGAACATTCTGTATATGTCTATCAAACCCATTTGTTCACAGGCATGATTCAGTTCTGTTATTTCTTTACTCATTTTCTGTCTGGTCGATCTGTCCCTTCGTGTCAATGGCGTATTAACGTTTCCTGTTACAATTGTGTTACTGATAATTTGAGTTTTCATTTCTGTTAATAATTGTTTTATATAACTGGGCGCTCTGGAGTTTGGTGCGTATATATTTAAGATAGTTATCTCTTCATCTTGGAGTTTTCCCCTTACGAGTATGTAGTGACCTTCTTTATCCTTTATGGTCATTGTTGGTTTAAAGTTTACATTGTCTGCAAACAGAATTGGTACTCCTGCCTTTTTTTCGATTCCTGCTGCATGAAGAATTGTTTTCCATCCTTTGACTTTCAGTCTGTGAATATCCTTCTGGGTTAGATGGGTTTCCTGTAAACAGCATATGGTTGGATTTTGTTTCTTGATCCATTCTGCTAGTCTGTTTCTTTTGATTGGTGCATTGAGACCATTTACATTAATGGTTATTACTGTTAAATGTTGGTTAATTGTAGGATTCTTATCTCTCTGCTGTTGCATCTTTATCTTTCTGTTCTGTTTAATTATTTGCTTTGCTTAGTGGTTTTTTCCTTTGTGTATCTAAAGTGTCTTTCAATATTTTTTGCAGGGTTGGTTTGGTGTTCATGAAGTTCTTCAGCTGTTCTTTGTCATGGAAGTATCGTATTTCACCATCTATTTTAAATGATAGTTTTGCAGGATATATCAGTCTAGGTTGGAAATCATTTTGCTTTAGGATCTGGAATACTTCACTCCATGCTCTTCTTGACTTTATTGTTTGTGCTGAGAAGTCTGCTGTGATTCGTATAGGTTTTCCTTTATAAGTGATCTGTCTTTTCTCTCTGACAGCTTTTAATAATCTATTCTTGTGTTGGATTTCTGGGATGGTGATTATTATATGTCTGGGTGTAGTTTTATTTTGGTTATGACTATTTGGAGTTCTATATGCTTCACTGATCCTGATGTCAGTTTCTGATCTCATGCTTGGGAAATTTTCAGCTATTGCTTCTCTAAATATCCTCTTGATATCCTTTATGTTGTCTCCTTCTTTTTCATTAATCCCTATCATTCTTATGTTATTCTTCTTTGCATCATCTTGCAGTTGTTGAATTGTTGTTTCCTGATTCCTTGTTATTTTTAAAAGATCTTTCCTTTCCTGTTCACTAGCTGCAATCCTGTCTTCAAGGTCTGAAATTCTATCTTCACTTTCATTAAGGCGGTTTTTACAACTTTCAGTGGAGTTTTTTATTTCCTGTATATCTCTGTGCATCTGCATTATGTATTCTGTTTGTTTCTTATATTGCTCGTCTAGGGATTCTATCTTTTTGTTTAGTTCCTCCAATTTTTTATCTGTGTTTTCTTTAGATATATTTAGAATCTCTTTCATTTCTTTTATCATTTCTTCTTTTATCTGGGATATTATTTCGAGTTTGAATTTCTTTAAAGCTTCCTGGAGTTGCTTGTCAACTTCAGTAGCTATTGTTTCTGATATATGAGGAGGATGGGATATATTTTCTTCTAAATACATTTCTCCTAGGGTTTCCTGTGATGGGCTGGAGGTTTGAGGTTGTAATTTGGTCTTTCGTTTTGTCATTTTCCTATATTTCTGTGTTTCAAGTGTTATTTGAAAGCCTCCTCAGGATCTGTTGAAAATCCCCTTCTATGTTTGCAGCTACTGAGACTCTGGCACCACTCTACCCCAGGCCATTGGGCCTTCAGAACCAATGGCCCTCCTCTGCTTGTTCAGAACTCCGCGGTTCCAGACAATCTGGGCCTCAGGGACACTGTGCGCGCACCTGCCCCTTGGTAGATCCACAGCTCTTGGATCGCAGCCGGGTTAGGGTACTCACCACAGACCGCAGTGCCTCAGGAGCCTGTGATCCCTCCCTGCTTGCAGAGATATCCACAGTCCTCCAGACAAAGGAAGGGCCTCCTGCGGGCACTCCGGACCCGCGCAGCTCCTCCTCTGCACACCGATGGCTAGGCGCGGCTGGGCACAGGCCGAGGTGCCTCAGGAACCCCGGATCCCTCCTCCTCCAGACAAAGGAAGGGGCTTCTGCAGGCACTCCGGATCCGCGCAGCTCCTCCTCTGCACACCGATGGCTAGGCGCGGCTGGGCACAGGCCGAGGTGCCTCAGGAACCCGGGATCCCTCCTCCTCCAGACAAAGGAAGGGGCTTCTGCAGGCGCTCCAGATCCGCGCAGTTCCTCCTCTGCACACCGATGGCTAGGCGCGGCTGGGCACAGGCCGAGGTGCCTCAGGAACCCGGGATCCCTCCTCCTCCAGACAAAGGAAGGGGCTTCTGCAGGCGCTCCGGATCCGCGCAGCTCCTCCTCTGCACACCGATGGCCAGGCGCGGCTGGGCACAGGCCGAGGTGGTTCATGGGCCTTGATCTTGTTCCTTCTGTGCCCCTTCTCTGAAGCACTCATCATCTGACCTCAAAGGTCTGATTCCCGGGGTCCAGGGAAAAAGAGGTTCAGCTTCACCAACAACTCACACCTGGCACTGTGACTGTGCATGGTGAGTGCCCGGTGGGCATGGCTGGGTGGCATGGACAATGGCAGGAGGACACAATGGCAGTAACATGAGGTCTGAAAAAGCAAGGGCTTGTCTTCCCTAGCCCATAAACTTCTGTCAGAGGCACAACTGGCTCCAGGGAGCTGACAGTCAGGGCTGAATGTATCTCTGTTCTTGTCCACCTGCAGCAGGACAGGCTAAGGAAGGGAGGAGACTTATGGGAGGCTCTGAGAGGAAGGAGCAGCCCTGGGGATCAGCTCCTGGAGGGGACAGTTCAGGATGGCTCCAGGGGTACTTTCTGCTGTGTGCTGGTCTCAGAGAGGTAAGGACAGATCAGGTAGACAGTGGATGGGGAAGCAGAGCCCTGATTTCTGTGTGAAAAGAACTTGGATACTGGCCTGCCTCAGCCTTGGGAAAGCCACAGCCAGACTCAGGGCGGGCAGTTCCTCTTCCTGTACAGAGCTGTTGTAAAAACCCTGTAACTTGGAGACCCAACATTGAAGTAGCCACATCTTGTGTGTGTGGCCTGCCAGGCATTGTAGTCTCTTCTAGCTACACAGTCCGGTCAGTGGTTGGAGACACCATGACCCCAACACTCACAACCCTGCTTTGCCTGGGTGAGCTGGGAAAAGAGGATTGGACACTGTGGTCTAGGAGGGTCCTGACCTAAAAGTCAGGCACTAGTCCATCAGTGACCCAGAGCTCAGGAGGCTCCAGAGAACAGAGGAGCTATTCAGGTCTAGGGCAAACCTCTCACAGGTAACTCTCTTCCAGGGCTGAGTCTGGGCCCCAGAATCCCAGTGCACACAGGTGAGTGTGTCCCAGCTGTCATGGGTCCCTCCTCTTCCTGGGGACAAGGGACCACTCCTGGGCAGTAGAAATGGAGCACAGCAGGTGTGGGCTGATACTGGGAAGTCTGGAGGGTCCTGTGGCTGAGAGCTGGGATCTGACGGGAAGAAAAATGTCTTGATGTGATTTCCCTGCAGGGACCCTGCCCAAACCCAGGCTCTGGGCTGAGCCAGGACCTGTGATACCACAGAGGGAACCTGCAACCCTTGGGTATGAGGGGACCTTGGGAATCCAGCAATACCATCTGCTCAGAGAAGGAAACCCAGCATTCACAGACACACAGACCTCACCTGAGCCCAGGAACAAGGCCAAGTTCTCCATCCAGTCCATGACAGTGCACTATGCAGGGCGATATCACTGTTACTACCAAATGCCATCTGGCCAGTCAGAGAACAGTGAACTCTAGGAGCTGTGGTGACAGGTGAGAGGACATTCAGTGTCCCAGCCCCAGGCTGTGCCCTTAGGAAGGGGTCTGCTCTCCAGGTTGTCACTTCTCACAGCCCAGCCCTGGGGATACTGTGGAAAGTGTGGGTCCATTTCACATGCTGCCTCCTTTTCTCCTAGGAGTCTACAACAAAACCAGCCAGCCTCTCATTCCTGACCAGCCCTGTGGTGACCTCAGGAGGGAATGTGACCCCCTGGTGTGACTCATCGGTGGGAGTTCACAGGTTTATTGTGACTAAGAAAGGAGGAGACAAGCTCTCCAGGGACCTGGTTTCACAGCAAGGCCTCAGGGGGCAGGCCAAGGCCCTGTCTCTGTAGGTCCTGTGATCCCCAGGCAGATGTGGACATTCAGATGGTATGGCTTTTTCTGGAACAAATCTTTGGTGTGATTAGAGTCCAGTGATGCTCTGGAGATCCTGGTCTCAGGTGAGAAAAATCTTTTCTTTGGCCAATCATGTTTGAACCCCCTAACTAATGACAGGAACCCTACTACAAAAGTCTGCAGACGCAAGTTGGGTCACAACATCTACCGAGCTTGAAACCTCAATATGACAGTCATGGAAACCTGCACAGTAGGAAAGGAGGAAAGGTGGGGGGGGCGGTCAGGAATCTGCCCCTCAGTCTGGTTCATCCTCTCTCCAGAGATGTCTGAGAAGCACACCCTCCTGACCAGCATGGTCCTGTCCTGGTCCTTGACACAACCTGACTCTCCAGTGTCACTCTGACCTTGGCTATGACAGATTTTCTCTGTCCAAGGAGGAGGCAGGTGACCTCTAGCACCCTGGCCTGCAGCCCCAGGCTGGGCTCTGTCAGGCTGACTTTCCCCTGAGTCCTTGAAGTGGCTCTCATGGGAGATGCTACAGATGCTATGGTGGACACAGCCTTTCATCTGAATGGTCATCACCTAGTGACTCCCTGGACATCTTGATCATAGGTGAGACCTAGAGCTCAATAAGGGACACAGACTCTACATTGGCCCTGCTGGGGGGAGTCCAGGAGGTGATGGCCAGGTTGATGCTGGGGTCTTATAGAGGGAGAGACAGAGACGGAGGAGAGGAGGGGCAAAGTGAGAGGAAAGAGAGACAGACAGAGAGCGAGGGTCCTCAGAGACAGCCCTGCTGAGACCTCAGCTCAGATCAAGCTGGAGAAGCCCCGCACTACCTCCTTGTCTCCAGGACAGCTCCCTGCCACACCCTCCCTCTTGGTGCAGCCAGGACACATGGTATCCCTCAGGAGAGAACATGACTCTTCTGTGTCAGTCATGGTTTCCAATGAACACTGTCCTTCTGTCCTAGGATGGGGCAGCCATATCCCCCTCTGCATCTGAGATCAGAGTCCCAAGCTCAGCAGTCCTGGGCCAAATTCTCCATGGCGGCTGGGAACTCAGCCCTCAGGGGGACCTACAGGTGCTATGGCTCTCAGGACTCAGTTCCATATTTGTTGTCACTGCCCAGTAAGCCTTTGGAGCTCATGGTCTCAGAGAAGGTTACTGAGACTATTTCTTCTGAACTGAAAGTACACTTAGGGCCCTGCTTCTTTTTTTTATACTTTTTTTTCTTTTTATTGGTACTGGGGATCAAACTCATGACCACCTGCTTGCAAGGCAGGTGCTTAAATCCCCAGCCCCAGGGCCCTGCTTCTTAGTACAGTTGAGGGACACTGAGGATTCAAGCCACAAGAAGGGAGGTTCACAGGGAGGGCCTCCCCTACAGACAGAGCTGAGGAGGGGAGAGGATGGAGTGAGCTGTGCAGGGACTTCTCAGATTCAGCACTGAAGATGGAGGCCCCAGCCTGGCTCCTGCTGTCCCTGTGTTAGCATCAGAACACAGGGAGTTGCGTCTCCCAGCAGACACAATCCTGCTGCCACTGTTACCCTGCCCCTCCTGAGTCATCTGTGGGTGTTGTACTCAGTGCACACCTGAGACTCTAGAGAGGCTGCGCACTGCTCACCTGCTCCCTTGAGGATCCCTGCCAGCCGGTCACGTCTGCTCTGCAGCCTTTGTGTGCTCAGAGCTACTGTGCTCTCTGCTTCTGATGTATTTTAAAGAAAAACTCACCCTTGCTGGCAAAAAACTAGAAATCTGAAACCTGCAAGACTTTTGGTATTTTTAGAAACTTAGACATGGGAACTGAGATCCAGTTCCTAACTATTCAATGGATTAACAAGGAAATTAAAAGAGAACTTTAAAAATTTATTGAAACAAAGATATATGTTATATTAAAAGGCATCATGCTTAAATCCACTATTGTTAATCTATTGTGGTCTGTCTTCCATTTGGTTCATATATATTACTATACAAGTGTTCCAGGACATATTTACAGTTGTTATACGTTGTTTCTGGAGAAGACCCTGTATCATTCTGTACGAACCTGCTTCACTTCTTTTCGCCTTTCGGACTTACTAGTCCAGCTAGTTTTGCTGACTTATAATTTCTCTTTTGCCCCTTGACTTCAGTCTGTATTCTCAAATATGTCAGGTACGCTGTGCACAGTTGGGTCTTGTTATTGGTTTCTTTGGTATTTCATTAAATCCATTTTCTACCACAAGACTTGTAATAATTTTTTAAAAGACATCTAAGTGAAGAGTTTAATCCACTACCATTCAAGAATATTCATAGGTTAAGCTCGTATTTCCTTTTGTGAATGGTTTATAACTGCTTTGTCATCTTTTGTAACTTTCTTTCTTTTTCTTGCCCTTGTGTTTTTGTAGGTATTTGTTGAGATTTCTTTGCACTCACCTTGGGTCTGACTACATAGATTCTTGTCAATATTGTTTTATTAATAAGGCTCCTAGATTAAAACGTTTCACTTACTTGAGAATTTATTGCATGTTTTATTCCTAATAAAGTATACAAGTTTTAGTTATTTAAAAAAATTCTTCAACTTCAATAATTAATAAAGGAGATTTTGAATCCTTTTTTGTTTGTTTGTTTGTCTTTTTTTGGAGACAGGGTTTCACTATGTAGTTCAGACTGGCCTTGAACTCACTTTGTAGCCCGAGCTGGTCTTGAACTCTCAATGGCCTCCTGCCTTTGCCTCCTGAGTGCTGGGATAACAAGCCTACTCCACACTGGGCTTAATTCTTTATATCACTGAAAATACCCAAGTGTATATAAGAAACTTTCAGTTTAGATCAATCAATATGGATTTCTATAAACTTACTGGGGCACTGTCCCCTTCAATGGATTTTCAGTGTGGCTCTGATTATATACTGATAAATTGGTATCAACATCAGGAAATGCAAGTTTTTGTTTGTTTCCAAGTCACACACTATTTTTTCACTTCATGTAGATATATATTTACTTACATTTCATTGTCTCAAAATTCCCAGCTGCAATGTATGCACACACACCTGGCACAATGATATGCACTTGAATTGCATGCATATATTTGCAACAGCACAGGAAGGCTTTGCTGTGAACCATGTCACAGTTAGGAGAAGAGGAGTGGATTTGACACAGAATCCCAGGGAGACACTGACTCAGGGGTCTGAAACCCCTGTCCATCCTTCTGCTTCATGCTCATTCCTGGCAACTGCACCAGCAAAAACAAGTCAGATCCCACAGCTCTCAGCTGTGGAGCTGGGCTACCAAGAGTAGGCGCTGCTCTGGGAGGGAGGATGCCCAGGAATGCAGAGGTGACCTTGGGCTTCCCTGACTCTGTGAGCTCTTTGTCCACTCTTCCCAGGCCCACACCCCCAGGATCACACAGTGGAGAACTGGGTGCACATGGGCATGACTGGCCTGGTCCTGGTGGCCCTCGGGATTCTGCTATGCGAGGCTTGGCACAGCCAAAAAAGTCCCCAAGATGGAGCCAGCAGGTGAACACAAGAGACAAAGGATGATGCATCTTCTGAGGAACAGAGGACTGGGAGTTAATCCAATGTTTCTGAGAGGTTCTTGAAAGGTCCTGGGGTTATAAGTTGGGGACTGAGAGGAATAAACTCACCTCAGGTTAGGGAAAATGGCTGGGAGGGGGTATGAAAGACACTTCCTCCAGTATTCTGTGACTCTTCCTCCCTCCTAGAGCTGACATTCCCTGACCATCCCTTCTTTTCTCATCCCCAACAGAGGAGGGCCCAGCCCAATGCCCAGCCCAATGCCTAGCCCAAGGCCTAGCCCGGTTTGTTACTGTGCAAATTTTGCCTCGTGGTCCAGGCCTCTTCTATGTAATTCATTTCATCTTCATTTGTGCATTCCTTGATATTTACTAGTGCATCTGTCTACACAGCTGTAAAAACAGATCTGAATTAACTGAATAAATGGGTAAAAAGTAGATCCCAAACTTCCAAATCTAAGTGTAATACTCTGCTGCTGCGCCCTTGTTCACTCTTCATCGAATTCCACCTTGTGGTTTCCTGAGAAATGTCATCTTTTGGAATCAACACCTCACTACATAAAGTGTCAGATGGATGCCACACTGGGGAACCAGGTCTCTGAAGACAAATTTTTAGCCAGGTGCAGGCTACTGCCCCATAATCTTAGCACTCTGGGAGGCTGAGGCTGGAGGATTGCAAGTTCAAACCCAGTCTGGATGATTTAGCAATTTAAAGTGATCTTCTCTCAAAGGAAGCAAGAAAAATGGGCTCTGGCTGTAGCTCAGTGTGAACATTCTGGGTTGATCCCTAGCACTTCAAGAACAGAATCATCTTCCCAAGCCCAAGCTTATAACATTTGCCGTGGCAGTGGTGTAAATACTCCCTTCCTAGGGACATGAGGAGAATAGTGTACTCTGCTATAGGCTGACCTCAGGGCCAATCTAAATAATGAATTGGGGTATGTGAAGCACAAGGTGAGAGCATGAATTCCTTCAGGCAGTGTGTCTTCTTCCTACTTGGACTTGCCCTGCAGGCTCTCTTTTAATCTCTAACCATGCATTCCAGAGGTTTTATGTTTGCGGCCCCAAAAGTTCCCTATCTCTGCATATCCTTCTCAACGTGTGTCTGATTAGTTTCCCATACACCCCCTTTTATTTTGTGCATGGATGGGGGAAAGTGAATTGGACTTGGTGGAGAAAGGTCATCATGTCTTCAGTACACAGCACTGAGGGCTCTTAGGGAGGGAATTCTTCAGCCAAACAGTACCATTCCTGAGATGGAAAAGGTATTCAGCATGGCCCCATCCCTTCCATAAACCTAAAAGGCCAGCAGGGGACAGTCAGGCTCCACCAGTAGAAGAGGCTTCACTAGGACAGAGGAGGCTGAGGTGATCCCAGGTAACTATGTCTGGGGTGAGGATTCTCAACACACAATTTCCATGCTCCTGTAAGTCCATCTTCTCCTCCTCTGGATTATAGTGTTTTGATCATATCTGCAGTTTTCACTTAATATTTTTGGAATATTTTAAATTACTGTGGAGCAGTTTTCATTTATCATTTTTGGAATATTTTAAGTTTGCTTTCTTGAATTATGTCAAATCCACAGTTCTCTTTGCTCAGAACCAGTTTTATTCATTTTTTGAGTTAGGTTTTTTTTTTTATGAGTACATGTTTGGAGTGCATGCAGTTTATAGTCACCATGGGGAACAGTATATGTACATGATATGACTTGTTTCTCATCCCTTCCCTTAAACCTCCATCTTTCCTCATTTAATTCCCTGTTCCTTATTTGTTATCAATTAAAAATTGGTGGTCAATTTAACAACAGCTGAATTAAATCAGCATGGTGCTGAGTGTAGATGGCCCACCTGAGGAAAGTTGCCAGCACAAAGGAGATGAGGAGAGGAAGAGGGAGGCATTGTGAATTCTCCTAAGTGTTGCTGGTGTTTGGAGCCACTGGTTCTCCTGGAGGATCTTGTCCCAATGTGAATTCAGCTGTTATCATTGGAGGAGAGCAGGATGTTGTCTCTGAGAATGGCTGCAGGTCACTTTGGGGAAGCTTTGGTCCTTATGTTGAGCATCACTTCCTGGTTTTGAAGATGTGTGCTATTTAATTTCAAGGAGAAATTGTCACACTGGCTTGCTGACGTGTATTCGACTGTTCTTATTGGAGGAGCTCAGGACCTCCTTGTCACTGAGGATGTCTGTGGTACTTTTCAGGAGAGCCCTGGTCTTTGAGTGTCAAAAAGTAAGTTCTTGGCTCCAATATAGAACCCTCAACCTACTGGCACAGATCCTTCATCCTGCTGCAATAGACTTTCAAGCTTCCACTGCTGATCTTTTGGTCTTTCCAACACAAATTCATAAACAGACTTGCATGAGTCCTTGTCATGGGCTCTAGACCTCCAGTTTGACTTATGAGAGGTATTGTCATAGGCTCTAGGTTTCCAGCTTCACTCATGCAGGACATTGCTGTGAGATCCACGTTCTCATCTGAATTTTCTAGATCTGTAGTGTTATGGACAGATTTTCTGCTCTTTCTTGTATTTAACTCTGGGTGACCATCATAAAATAATATTATAAATTCTGTGCCCTGTATGTAATTGTTCTCCTTGTAAACTCTGACTGTTTTTGTTCATAAAAACCAACAGTTCCCTGAAACAATATGTACAGGCAACTTCTGCATATAGTAAGTCTTCCTTTCTAGCCCATGCCTTATGAGAATAACCTCATATCCACCTTTCCCTCCACCTCTTGTCCATTTACCCTTGCCCAGTGCTGTCCATGAAGCTCCACTCAAAATGTCCAGGCACTCTCTAGGCCACTTCCCAACATTTCCCAGGCTCCTAGGTGCTGCTGGTGCATAAAGAGACAAAAATCAGCTTGGGAATTGGGGTAAAAATTCTCAGAGGTATCTCTTCTAGGGCCAAAACTGGAACAGATCTGCAAGAACCCACAGGTGAGTCCACCATACCACTTTATATCCTTTCTTATCCTCAGTTCCTCAGCTCTCAGTTTGGGGGCACTGGTTTGGGCTGATGGTAAGGATTAGGAAGAGGCCTCAGAATCATTTAGGGGACAGAGAATGTCCTGGAACCCACACACTGACTTCTTGAAGGGATCCTCCTCAAACCCATGCTTTGGCTTGAGCTGGGCTCCTTGATGCAAAGAGGAGACACGTGAGCTCCTGCTGTTAAGGTGCTAGAGCCAGGAAGTTCCATCTACACAGAGAAGGGAAATCAAGGGTCTGTGAGAGACCAACGTGAAGAACAATATCACTCTACACTACTAATAAAGTAGAAGAGGAAAAAACAAAGAAAATAATTGTCTTCACAAAAGATACTAGTACAATAAAGTTGGAGAGGTCAATTCATCCTTCCCCTGAGCCAGCAGCAGTCGTGCATAGTCTGGGAGGATAGAAAACAACACAGTTCACCCTTCCTGTGAACCAGTGACAGACAGGCAAGGCCTAGGAGGAGAATCAAGAAGCCAATTCTCCTTTCCTATGAGCCAGTGGCAGCCAGAAGGGGCCTAGGTGGAGAAACAAGAGGACTACCCTTCTTGTGATCCAGCAGCATGGATGTGGGGCCCAGGGGGAGAAAAAAAGGGGTGAATTTGCCCTTCCCATGAACTGGTGGCAGTCATTCAGGGTCTGGGAGTAGAAATAAGAAGCCAATTTTTTCTCCCCATGAGCCAGCTGCAGTCATGCATGGCATGGGAGGAGAGAAATCAAGCCAATATATCCTTCCCATGAATCACTGGCAGACAGGCAGGGCTCAGAAGAAGAACCAAGAAGCCAATTCACCCTTCTTGACAGTCAGCTGCAGCCAGGTGGGGTCCAGGAGGAGAAACAAGATGCCAGTTTGCCTTTGCCACATGCCAGCCAGTGTGTGGACTGGGAGACAAGAATCACCCCACCAGCCCTCAGCCTTTCACCTCTGTACTACTGCACCCCAGCAATAAGCAATTAACTGATTTGGAAGAACACAGGCTGAGATGATAGCAACTAAGGTACAAAAGAAACTTAATGCTTTTATTGTTCAATTGACTTAGCAGGCCTAAAGCTAGTAGTCTGGGCATCGATTTAGAGAATAGCAATATGCACTATGGCAACTAGGGGGCTTTCCTTCTATCTTGTTTTTGAAATCCAATATTTTTCTTACTTTTGCTTTGTTCCATTTTACTGTTTTGTTTTCTTCAATGCTCAGCTTTGATTGGTTTTATTCTGTTCTGTTTTGTTTGATTTTATTTATGTCTGATGGTATGGGCAGCACTTTTGAAGATTACAAGAGGCATTATGGTAGCTATTGTTGATTTCCTATCATCTTATTTGGAAATCTTGTGTCACTTTCATTGTTTTGTTTTGATTGACTTTATTCTGCTTTATTTTGTTGGGTTTTATTCTCTTTAAATTCTCTTTAAAAAGAATAATAAAATCCAGGAAACAATCCAGTGAAGGAAGGGAAATACTTATACAATGAAAATTACAGAAAGCAGAAGAAAAAACTCAAAAGAGAGACCGTTATTAAGAAGAGGAAGGGATTGGTGGGAGGCAGGTGTGTAACAGTGAGGAATGGGGGGATGAATATAAACCATAAATATTTACACATTGAATCAGAAATTGTGAACCTAGTGGAGAGAGTGAGGAAAGGGGAGATAGGTGAGTGAAAATTAACAAAGTGTTTCATGTGCATGTAAAAAACTGCCAGAGTGACATCCATTAATCTGTACAATCAATGCACATTAATTATTTTTATTGTATGGAAAACAGGAAAGCACAACTTCATAACAAAGTAATAGGAGAATAATGATGGTTAATACATTACATATTATTATATTTAATGTAAATAATCAGAGTACAAGATGTGGACATAAACATTCTCCAAACAATATTGACACAAATTTTTCTTTCAATGAGCTAAGAGAAACTACCAGCATAACTGTTTTGTATTTTGTTTTTGTTTTCTTCTTTTCCTTTCTTTCCTTTCTCTTTTTCCCCATCCTAGTT